ACCAGCTTGCAACGATATGAGATTTAGACTTGGAACAAAGTTGAGCTACTAGGAGAGAACCCTAATTCGAAGTCCCGAGTCTTTGTAGTGCTAATGTTTTAAATGATTTGACTGGTTTGGTCCTATTTACTGGCAAATGTTTTTCAAAACATCAAGGTTTACGTGTTACGATCGCCTCATGACTCAAGCACAAGGGTGTAGTGGGCGTATGCCATCGCCTCCATATGTGTAATTTCCTGGAGACTTAGCAATCACCCCTAGCCTTAGAGCTTCTACTTCCCAAAACACATCGAGACGTGCCAGAGGGTGCAAGGCAGAACACCTTTTCTAACATTGGTCAAACCTCGTTATACGACTATTAATGATGTAGCTAAAAGTGTCATTTTAACAATGCATTAGCTTTGGATAAATAATGGACTAAATCAAAATGACACATTAGATTTTCCTTGCTCTGTATAAAGTTTTGGGCAGTAAATGCAACACTGAATTAAAGGTATTATGGAAACAGCCTCTTTGTGGGGTCCCAGCAGATTTTGTATTAGACTAGGTTTTTTTATTCTTGTAGAGATGAGAGTAAACTAATTTCCTGTTTTGATAATAAACAGCGATTTCATGTGTTCACTCGTAGTAAAATAGGAATTGATCCAGCACCTATTTGTGGTTTTCACCTTTGGATAAGTTAGAGAACCTAAAAATGTAATTTGTTTTGTAGATGCTGAGCAATACATACATGGCATCGACTTCGTTGTCTCCTGCTGTGGTCGGACGAGCCAATGCAACTAAACCTACTTTACCCACTGAAAACACCAATGATGGTCATGTAAATGGCGACAGTGCAGGTGCAGGCAGCTGGATTTCTTCTTTGCGCCGCATCTCTTCTGCAAAGTGAAAAGTATGCTTCACTTTCCTCTAAATTTCTGTCCCTCAAGTCTCAACTTTATCTGCTGGTTGGCGATATAACAAGCTTTTTCCATGCAGGCGAAATGTTAAATACTAGTTGCTCAAGTTGGGTGCATTCCTGCTGTATCACTTAGAATACGAAAGGATGGCTATGAGAGGGTGATTAATAATTTCATTCTACTTCTTCAAGGCTGTGTTTTGAAGGGGATGCATCAATAGGCGGCAAGCTGGGGCCCGAGAGCATATTCCTCTCTATTCATCTTGTCAAGGCTCGGGTTAGACTTTTCTTCCTAGACGACTGTGTACGTGGAATGAATCACTTTCTGATTTTTAGGCAACTTGTAGCTTGTGTAAAATCAATAATCTTTGTTTTCAAGGTATATTCATCATTGCGAACAGATTTTTGTGTGTGTGCATATAGTAGTGAGTAGTGATAGTTGACTGGCTTTCTCTTTCGCACACTCACTCTCTTTTCTTAGTCTATGTGGCACATGTTGTGACTTTTGGGTGATGTATGTAATTTAAGAAAACACAATTACAATGCTGTTATATTCATGATTGTCCGTTCAATACTGTTAATTGTGATATCCCAGTGAGATGCTCTTCTTCTTTCATTATCATGTTAGCAAATGAAGGTCCTGTTCTAAAGATGTCCCTGCCATGTCGAGAAACTTGGATGTTCCGTGTTCATGCCTACACATTCCCTGCAAAGGCCTTTGAGCGTTGCAACTTCTTCCCAACCAAACCTTGGCTTATGATTATTGTCACGATTATCCCTAGTTAAAAATAAAATAATATCATGAGTGATTGTTTTGCAATTTGCAGGATTTGATTTTCTTGGTTACCAGCTGCCACTGATTGAATGGTTCAGCAACACAATTCTTTTATTGTGAAGATGGTACCAGAGGGCCCATGGATAAGATATGCAACTGCTGTTTTGCTACAACTAGATACTCAGGGGTTATTCAATTGTTTTTTTACTGAACCTACTTTCCCCTTCGTGTCTTTCAAGGCTGTCTTGGAGTTCCGAAGGCTGCCTGCCCAGTTGTGCTTGTGGTAAATGTATTCACTCAAGTCAACAGTTCATTCCTGCTAAATTAAATCATTCGGCATAAAAAGCTCAGCTGTGAAGAATTTATGTTTAATACAAGTATTAACATGCCTTGTATTTCCACCTAAACATCTATCCTCGCCATCATAAAGATCTTAGGCAAACGCCCCCTTAAATAAATGGTGGGCAAGGAAAGGCTCCTTCCATGACCCCTAAATTCTTATGTAGTTATATGTTAGTCAATAGCATTTGTATTTCCAAACTTAATTTCGGCATCGAACAAACATAGGCATAATATACACTCTAATGCCTTTTATTTTCAGCGCACGAGCCATTGTTCTCCTTCATCTTCTTGCACCTTTAGGCATAATAACGCGTGGATCTCCTTGCCCGAGTGGCGTAGCTCAGATGGTTTAAAGGTGAGAGCAAAAGGAAGTAGACCAGGGTTCCACTCTTGGCAACGACAATTAAGAGGGACTATGCTTTTCGTGGGATTATTGCACGTACAAGGCATGCTTCACTTTCTTTTTTTTCTTTTGTTTTTTTTGACAAATCACTTTCTATCAATTATACTTAGATTATAGTTTTGTTTACCTCCACTCAATCTATTGTTCGGACTGTACTGAGGAACCCTCTTTTTCAAGTAAATGCTCCCCAAAATAATAAAAAAATGTTGGTTTGCAAAAATTTTCTCAAGATCCCTAATGCAATTACTATTAATTATAGGCTACTGAAAATATGTATTTTTGATGTAATTATCTGCATTGAAATATTTTCGTTTGTGTATTGCTGAATTAGTATTCCATTCATATAATTTAAGGTGCATTTTTTAATTTTACAAGTATTTTACATGTGCCATGCATGGGGTTAAATGAAATGTTGTTTAATTCTGTTATTATTTCTTAGGTTTCTCTAAAACTCTTATATATTTTAGATTCTAACTCTTAGTGTTCGTTGTTTGGTAGAGAAATTATAAAATTAATCGTAACCGAATACCAATTTGGTAAAAATACTCTTATAAATGAAAATGTTTGACATTGACTTTTATTAATAGTCATAATGAAATATAAAGCATTGGAAATTATAATTTTTGTAACTTTAATGGTAAACTTGTATCAAATGATACATAATTTATTTAGGGTGTGTAAACTTTCCTTTTGATTTTGGTTTCTAATATTACAATTGCATCGAAAACAATATTTGCAACTATTCAATGTTTAACCATATATTGGATGTTTGATCCTTGTTTTCAAAAATATAATGGTACAATTTTCTTCAAAATTATTTTATGGTTAAAGATACTCCAACATTTGGTCTTATTTCTAAATTATAAATCTCATTGATAGGGAAAAAATTTGATTTTTCTAGCCCGCATTGTGAAAAGAATTTGATTAATCTCCTCGCATTAACATGATTCTCGTATGAATTTTAAAATATAATTCTTCTCTCCCCACAATAATTTTAAAAATTATTAATAAAAAAACATAAGGGATTTTATGATTATAATCCTCCAAATTAATAAAAAAATTTGATTAGTAACCCTATGGTTGTATGAATCAAAGATTACGATTCTTCTCCCACATTAATTTAGATTAGCCTTTTTTATTCATATTCTGTTCTCTCCCCCCTAATAATTCAAAAAATAAAATTTAGATTAGAGATTCTATGATTCTATGGTTCAAAAATATTAAAAGAAACATGAAAAATCCAGTGGTTATTCTCTCCCGCTTTAATATAAGAATATAAAATATTAGCAATCATATAATTCTAAATAAAAATTTGCAAATATATTTGACAATTTTTTTTCACTTTTTTTATTTTATGATTGAATATGAAATCATTCGAGCTCGTGAAAAATATTTTTTTTCTAATTTATTTGATTGAAATATTTTACAATTTTGAAAAATAGTATGTGGTTGTTTTATACTCCATCCGTTTCAAAAATCACTTCTTGTTAACTATTCGAGCTTTCTCGAGAATATTTGTTTGTATGGGCTTTTTTTATAACTTGTAAAATAAAATGTTCTTGTCACCATTTCTTTTATGGAACTTTTGATGTATTTTTTGAATATGTAAGTTTTATTTTGTATTTCTATGCTAATTTGTAAATAAAATTATTTTCAAAAAAGATGAAATTTTACACCTAAAATCAAAAGATGATGTTTATTGAAATGGATAGAGTAGAATTTTAATGTAGAGTTTATAACATATTTATAGATTTTCTATTTTACGTCAATATTTATATAAATTAACTATCTTCATTTAAGAATATCATAAATAAATATGAACATATTTCTTAAGATATATTATTTTTTAATAATCAAAACTAACTTCATTTTAACATTGCATTAACAAATACTCATATGAAATTTATTTTGAGCATGTTCTTTATGGTTGGCAAAATAGATTTGGATTTTGGAAGAAATAGGAAAAAACCAGAAGGAATGAATACGAAGAAACTGGAAAAGTAGAAAAAAACTACAAATATCCATCATCATCATCATTATTATTATTAGCATATTCATAACAGGTAAAAAAGTGAATAAAATTCGACCACATGGATAATATACATATCACTTAATTAGCTATAGACGGAGTAGTATAAATATGGTTTTTAAATTTAAAATATTGATGTTTTCCCCACGTCACTTTAGATTAATAAGTTATTCATAAAATTTGGAACATAGTATAGTTTTATGTAAATTAATAAAAAATAAATTTTCCCATTAAAATTTGGCATATAGTGCATTAGAAAAATAAAAGATTATGTGGCATATTTTCATATTTAATTTTATATTTTCTATGTCATAAATTATGTGGCATATTAGGCGTTAAAAAACAGCTACATAAGTACCACTTGTCATCTTCTAATGAGTTTTAGAAAAAGTAATTATCATTTTAGAAAAATGAGTGAAAGAAAAGAGGTGTTTTAAATGAAAAGGGGAGAATTGATAAAAAGGAAGTGAACTATTCAATATTATTAGGAAGAGGAACATCAACGGAATGGATAATTTTTTAAAAAATTCAATGTTTTAAAAGCTCTATATATGCATGGGCGATCCGCCTCCCGCACTGCAGCATGGGCGATCCCCTCCCTAGATAAAATAGTGCGCCGGCGAACTAGAATGATGATGAATTTCTTGCTGGTAAAATAGCCAGAGACGAAAATAGAAATGTGAGAAAAAGTTAAAATGTATGCTGAAAAGTAGATTGCTTTGTGTGAGTTCTTCAGTGGGAGTAGGCGGACAGTACAAGGAGTCGCCGTAGACTCTTCGTATGTGCATGCTTGACTAATACATACTTTGTTAATAACGAAGTATCCACTTGCACTTAAATTGGTCTCGTAAAAATTAAAGATACAAGTTGGCCCACGTCACGATGCATTGTGCACACACGCCACACGCCAACACGCGTTTGCACATACACGTGAGCACCCTTTTGTTGCTCACAATATATTGAAACACTTGTCTCACTTCAGAGATTAATTGTCCACAATTGATTTGGAAAATAATTTAGTGGACACACTACAAAAAAACTGAATTTTAGTAACATGGTATTTGTGGTAGATTCTAGAATTTTCCACAAATACCCCGTTACAAAAAGTATTTGTCACAAAATTTGATGTCTTAATCAGTATTTGTGGAAAAATTTGATGCCACAAAAAGTTAAATTCTTGCAGTGACCCCACTGAATTTATGTTTGAAGTTATCCTGTTATTAAGAATAAAAATTCCAAGAATCACCCACATGAATGAAAATTGACTCATGTGATCGACAAGAACTTTGTAGTTGAAAACTACAAGAGTAGGTGGGTTTTTATGCCTTTGAACATACTCTTTGTAAAGTATACCTTCTTAATTACTAGCTCTTTAGTAGAATGTGATGTCTTTGAACTGTATTATCGTTTGTGTATGCAAGAATATACCGTACACAAGTTTCAACCAACTATCATTTTGTTCTCATGGGTGTGCCCGTTATGGTCATGGAACAGACATCTCGTTCTTCGAGAGTGTCACAGAGGATTAGCCTGAAATCCTTCTATTGAAGCAACCACACTTCACTCTTACATAGGTGATTTTTCTAAGAGTATCCCAATTCCTCCAATTTGACCCCATTGTCCATAGTTTAAGAATCATTAAAGCATATTAAACATGCTAACCTCATCATTTTTGAAAGTCACTATATATTGGTTGGAACGAAGGAGATTTAAGACGATGACCCACCCTGCCTCTATAGTGACCATGATTCATCCCACGAGTAGGTTGTCCCATTGACTGAACCTAGATACCACCCATGTTGGGTTTTCCTTCATGATACATTCCCACCACAGGGTAGGGCTTTGACCCATTCATACGACCGTGTTTGGGTATATGCAACAAGTGAGGGGGAATCACGTTTTCAAAGACGTAGGGGGAATAACCATTACTCTCTCTTTGAAAACCCAACTTGTCCTGCATATCCCCGCCTTGGTTTGTCATTATCAAAAAGGGGGAAATTGTTAGAAAGCATTTTTCACATTGATGTTTTGTTAATGACAATGCTTGTTTCTGTTTAGGTTTTGATATTGACAAACCCTCGGGAAGATGGGACTAAATGAA